TGGATGAGTCATGGCCATTGCTTGACTAATTTGCTCTCTATGAAAGCCTGAGAGAATTTTTTCTCTCTAGGTGACTCTCCTTAGGCACATTATACATTATTGATCACTTTCCTTGATGGTCCCATAATCTTCTTGAACAGAAAATTTGGTACACCACTGAGTTACGGAATGTCACAGCACAGGTTCTCTTACGTCCTGAGTCCTCACTGACCTTGAAGGGCTAGGGCCAACATATTGGCTATCCTTGTAGCCATTCTTTTTCTCTAATTTTTGTCAAGCAGGACATATTGTAGAATAGATTCTTTTATCCTCCTGAAATCATAAACTTCACTTGTATATGATATGGGAGTTCTTTGTGATTCAACTGATAGAGAAATTTAATATATTCCTATTTTTCACATCTAAAATGGGACAAAATGCACACTGTCTTCAGAGAGAGATCTGGATTACTGTAGTTGGCCCTCCACTCCACTGGGACATTTTAGTTCATTAATTTTTCATATGTCCTTAGATGTGTCCATATAATATGTCTCCATTAATTCTGTTGATCATGGAGACTGAATTGTGGTGCACTCTCCAAGAGCATTGTGTACAACAGCCATGTCTTCATGAGCTGGCCTAGGAAGTCCTAGGAAGTGAAGGACACAATGAGAAAATTCAAGAGTATAAAGACAAGAAAACACAATATGAGGACCAACTATTTTTAAATATATTGAGATGGAATTCATATATTATACCGGGTCAACATTTTTAGGAATAATTTGCTAGTCTTTAATATTGTGCTATGTGAACATCTACACAATCTGGCAGGTAATCTTTATGAACTCATTTGACCCTATATGTACCAGTGTCTTTGGTACATAATGAAGAAAGTCTACATCAGCTTATATAAATACTATGAGAAGCTTACCATCTCCTTTAGCCATAAGATTAAGTATGACTTTGTGACCAAATGTCTGATTGTATAGAAATTGTCCCAGCTCTTTAAAGAACATATGCTTAGGGACACAGGTTTTGGGGATGACCTAGAAAAGTTACAGAGTTATAGTGTCCCAGATTTGTAACTCATGTGGATGAAGCATGCACAGGGTGATGTGTCTCAAGCAAAGACAAATGAATAGCAGTGATTTTACCCACAACATTTCTTCCAACATTTGTACTATTTTCTTTCTGTTCCTAGAACAAGCTCTTTATCTCTGGAGAAAAGAACTATGTATGTAGTCATTCTACTGAATTCTGACACTGTCTTAAGTTAAAGTCTGAATTTGCAGGTGTGATTCTGAAGTTCCACTAGAACTCTTACACCTTATACTGGTCAAACTTGTGTTGCAGTCTAACCTCCTTTTACTCATCCTGGTCTAGGAAACATTATCATAATCTACCCTCCTGTTCTTGTTTTCTAATTTCTGGAATGAATCATAGGATTCAGGACAATGGCTAATTCATGTGCATAGAGAACAGTGGAAGAAAAGAGTGGACCTTAAGTGTTCTGTCTGGAGATCTCAAAATCTTTATACATCTAAGTATTGTCGAACCCTAACATTTTGCTTAAAATATAGTTAAGGGATTTTGAAGTAGATTTTGGTTTGCAAAAATTTAATTAGCTTTTTGTCTTTGATTAATTCAATGTGAGTTCTCTTTTCCTTTTTCATAGATTAAATGGGAAGACTCAATATTTCAATGGACTAGATAATAAGCAACAAAATTGCTTTTACAATTTCAGCTTTTGAACATTATTTGATCTTTCTGTATGTCAGTTATATGCTACTGAGAAGCTACCAGAGTTGCCCAGACTTTGAGCATATTTTCATACAAAGAACACAGTTTTCCCCTGGGAGTTCTCCAAGGTCTTAAAGGCTGTTGGGACACACTCCCTAGGATATGGCCCAATGTAAAAATTCATGTGTTTTTTCCCTAGTTTCTGTGGTTTAACAGGCCATAAAGAAAAGTCACAAGTTATTAGTATGCTTCTATATTGTCATCATATGTCCTGTAACAGAGGTTTCAATGACTAACAAAATTAAAGGAAGTGAATCTTAGTGCAGTTATACTTTTTGAAAAAAGAAAGGACATTCTAAAATGCTGCGTATTTTTGATAGATATAAACAAATTGGTCAATAAAAATGTGGCAGAGTCAAGTAGTTTTTATTTTCTTTATTTTTTAATTGATCAAGTTTATTGGTACATTTGAGTATACATAATTTAGGTATATATAATGATAATATACATCATAGGGAATTTATATCTATATGTGATATATCTTGATTTATCTCCATTCCATTACCCTCCCTTTAACTCCACTTCTTCTCTTTATAAAAGCTTAGTTTTCCTATTTATGTCTTTTCTCCTTTTGTTCCCGCTTCACCCTTCTTCCTCACACTTCTCTAGTTCCCTTTCCATTTGAACATTTTCTCCCTATTTCACAATATCTATTATAAATTTTCATCCTTGTTTACAGTTTCAATTTCTCTCACAAAGAAAAATATAGTTTCACACATGGGTGTCTGATTTATTTCACTTAAGAGTCTTGTTTCAAAGTGCATCCATTTACTAAAAATGACTCAAGTATCTTTCCATATGGTTGAGTAGTATTCTTTTGTATTAAAAAGAAATCATCTTTTTTCCCATTCATCAGTAGATAGCCATTATCTGTTTCCAAGATTTAACTCTTACAAACTGTGCTGCTGTAAATATTGGTATGCATATATCACTGTGGTACAATGCTTTTAAATTTTTAGGGAAAGTACCAGGAAGTGGAATAACTGGGTCCCATGGAACCTCTAGTCCTATGTTCTTTGAGGAATCTCAACAATAATTTTCACAGTCCTGTACCAGCCTACAATGCCACCAACAGTTGGGAAAATGTTCCTTTTTGCCCACAGCCCCTCCAGAATTATTGGTTGAATTCTTGATAATAGCCATTCTTTGTGAATTGAGATAGAACTTTCTTCTATCATATTTCATTGTTCCTATTTTAATATTTAGATTTTTGAAAAATTTTAGTTTTAAGTAATACATGGTGAAAGATAGGGATCTAGTTTTGATCTTCAGCATGTGGAAAGCCAGCTCTTCTAGCAGGATTTATTAAAGATGCTATTTTTCTTCCAGTGAACATGTTTGATTTTTTTTCAAAGATGAGGTGGCTGAGTATAGCCAGATTTTTTCCTACATCATGTAATCTAGTCTATTGGTCTTAGAGTCAGTATTTTTGTTTTGTTTTGTTTTACTTTTCTTTTTATTTGCAAGTACCATGCTGCTTTTATCACTGTCGCTTTGTAATACAGTTTCATGTCAGAGACTGTGATGTCCCCTTCTTTGCCTTTGTTGCCTTGATTTGCCTTTGGTATTCTATGCTTATTCTGGTTCCAAATAAATTTTAGGATTGTGTTCTCTAATTCTGTGAGATATATTATTGAAATTTTATTAGGATTGCATTAAATCTGTGTAACAATTTTGAGACCATGCTAATTTCCACTAAGAATAAGGGATATCCATTTTCTGAAATTCTTTTTGATCTTTTTGAGAGCACTATAGTTTTTCAATGTAGAAGTGTATTGATTGATCAGATTTATTCTTAGGTATTTCATCTTTCTGGATAGTTTTGTGAAAGGTGTCATTTCCTTTATTTCTCTCTGTGAGATTCTTTTTTGTGTAGATAAAGGCTGTTGAGTTATGAGCATTGAATTTGTGTCCAGCTATACTGCTAAATTTTATGCTGCTAAATCTAGAAGTATCTTGTTGAAGTTTATAAGGTTTTCTATATAGAGTATTGTGTCATCTGCAAATAGTGTAAATTTGACTTCTTTTCTATGGTTATTCCTTTTATTTCTCTGTCTTGTCTAATTGTTCTGACTAATGTTTCCAGGACTATTTTAAATAAGAGTCATAACAGACCATCCTTATCCTCTTCCTTATTTTAGAGTTAAAGCTTTCAGGTTTTGTTTATTCAATATGGTGTTGTTTGTTGATGTATCATAATGAATTTTATCAGATTGAGATAAATCCATCTATTCCAATTGTCTGTGTGGTTTTTACATGAGTAGGTGTTTGACTTTATCCAGTGTTGTTTTTTTCTTAGTCTATTGAGGTAATCACATGTTTTTTGTCCCTGGTTCTGTTAACATGGTGGATAACATTGATCACTCTGCATATGCTGAACTCCTACAGTCCTGGGATGAGTTGTACTAGATCATGATGTATAATCTTCTTGAAGATTTGTTACCTTGTTTTCCAGGGTCTTATTAGAGACATTTGCATCTACATTCAATAGGGAGATTGGCGTCTTCTTTGATTGTATCCTCTCATTTTGGTACTAAGTTAATGCATGCTTCCAGGAATATATTTGGAAGTATTATTTCCCTTTAAATGTCATGAAAGCATTTAGGAAGTAGTGGCATTAGATCTTCTCTATAATTCTTGTAGAATTCAGTCATGAATTCATTAGGATCTGAGCTCTTCTTTCTTCTTAGGTTTTCATTGAGTGATACTGGGTTATTTAGAATTTTTATATCTTCTTGATTCAGCTTTGGTAATTCATATGTATCTAGAGATCTGTCCATTTTACCTGTATTTTCCATACTATTAGAATACATATTCTTAGGGTCCAGGAGACAGCTCAATAGAATAAGCACTTGCCAGAAATCACAAAGTCCTGAGTTCAATCCCTTGTACTGCAAAACAAAAACAAAAACAAAAACAAAAACAAAACAAAACAAAAAACCAGAATACAGGTTCTCAATGTAGGTTGTGGTAATCTTCTGGATTTCTGTGACCTTTTTATACAACCAGTAATACTGTTGTGCTATTGCTGTAGCAGTGAGTTGCAGTCTAGTATCTGAAATGCTGTGTGAAAATATGTGCATATTCATGAGTTTGTTTGCCAAGACAAGGAGTTAATATTTGAAGGAATCAAGCCCAGTTCAGCTTTCACAAAAAGAGTTCAGATATTTCCAGGTGTGTATTTCAACGTATTTTCAATAAATATATCTGTGATTACTTAGGAGCCAGTAACCTTGGAAGATGTTGCTGTGAATTTCACCTTGGAGGAGTGGGCTTTTCTGAATTCATCCCAAAAGAAGCTCTACAGAGATGTGATGTGGGAAACATTTAGGAATATGACTGCTATACGTAAGTATGACATTCTTTTCTTATTTATGCAGTGAGAGAGCATTGTTTCTTGCTCATTGATGGTGATGTATTAAATATAGTGTGAGAACATTCTGAAGAATGTGTCAGTTCTGTTTTCATTTATACCATGAATCTAACTGCTATCTGGTAATTGTTGTTTAATGATGTAGCACCTTTTGTATTTCTATGGCTGTGATTCAGGAAGAACCTTGGACAAACAGAAAATTGAAGAACAATACAAAAATACCTCAAGAAATCAAAGGTAATTTGCATTCACAAGGGAAATGAATATTTCCTAACTGTTGATATGTGAACAGAAATATTACAATCAAGGAAACTAAGCAAGTAGGGCTATGTTCACATAAATTAATCTCATAAAAAATTCTGGTATACATATAGATTAATGTTCTGTCATCTGACACTGAATACAGAAATATTCAAATATGGGAAACTAACTTGATAGAGATACATTATAACAAGCAACATTATCTCATATATCACTATATAAAATTCTTTCATGATCAACATTGTGACAATATATGAATTTACATTTAAATATTATATACAGGTATATAAGAAATAAATAAATGTTGAACTATGACAGAAACTCACCTTCAAGTTATCTATTTATGTTTGCTAATGTGGAAGAAATATCCAAAAGGCAAATTAATGCCAGTGTAGTAGTAGATGTTTTCAAAAAATCCTCCAGAAAAATGGGTGTATTCATGTTTTAAAGTTCGTATAAGGCAGCCATATACATTGTTGGTAGGAATATAAAATAAACCATTTTGATAATCAATATACTGATATCTCAAATGTAATGATACGAGTTTGCATATCATCCAGGCAAACCTCCCTGTGTATATTTTGGAACAATTTAAAATTACTGCATATTAGTTTGACATGCATATTTATGCTCAAAGTAGGGTGTCATGGGTATACCCAATACCTAAATTCTAGAAATAATTCACAATCCCTAAGTCCCCCCAGCAGCCTAGATTTCTACCATGGAATGCATGGAAAAAGAGCTTGTGGGACGGGCTCATAGTGGTGCCTTCTTATAATTCCAGCACTCTCTCATGCTGAGTGAGCCATGTAACAGCATGAACTTCCTTCTCATCAAATTAGTTTTCAGGGAGATACTCTAAATAAGAAAAAATATATATATAAATGTAATTTACTGCTATAATCTTTAATTCTCAGCACAAAAAGAATGTGTTATACCTTTAGCCCTAAAGAAGAATGTCATATTTTTTGACATAACAGAAAGAACAGTTGGGACTACATCTCATAATAATATTAAATGAAATAAACCTATACACGTTTCCTCTTATGTGAGATGCTAAAATTTAAATTAGGGAGTACAGTTAAGAAGTGATACAGTACAGAAAAACTGATTTGTTGGAAATGGAAAAGATGATCAGGTCAAGGAGAGAAAAAGAGAATAGGTGGGGAAAAAGGTGTTAAAACAAACAGTGTGTAATTTATATACATATCAATGACATCAATGAAACAGATCTTATATATTAAAAATATTTATCAGTTTAAAATCCCCAAATAAATAATATCCTTTGGGAAATGGGTGCTTTGGAGATATCCTCCATGGCATGCAACCAATTCATTCTTACAAGATTTTAGCAGCATTAACACAAAACCGGTCCTGGTAAATAATTGACATGGAAACCTATTTATTGTGATTGATTTTTTTGTCTTTTCAGTAATGAAAAAGCAGCAAAATGGTATCCATATAAATCTTGGAATCAATATGGAAACATATTCCTTTGGTCTCCAGCTGCTAATGTGGACATGAAACAAGCTTCTTTAATTCCAGCTGAAAGCCTTGCTTGTACAAGACCTCTGACTGGTCATTTAGCACAAAATTTGCCCATTTTACCTCACATTGGCCTGAAGGCAGATTACTTGGCATTACATGACAAGGTAAATAAATGTAATGAGCACGGAGAAAGTTGCAGTGATTTCCAGTACTTTCTGAAGTATACAATGACAAAGACTAGAGAGAAATCCAGTCAATATGAGCAATGTAAAACAACCTGCTCTGAAAATAATGAAAAAGCTAACCCTGGAGAGAAGACCACTTTAGGTCAAAAAAGTGTGAAAGCCATCAGCAATCCCAGTGATGTTCAAATCTATGAAAATATTTACACTGGTAAGAATCCATATATATGCAAACAGTGTGGAAAAAGATTTCTTGATAAGCCTGCATTTCATAGACATAGACGAACACACACTGGTGAAAGACCCTATGTGTGTAAGGAGTGTGGGAAAGCATTCAGTTCACATAGTAATTGTCAAAGACATAAAAGAATTCACACTGGGGAGAAACCATATGTATGTAAGCACTGTGGAAAAGCATTTACTACAAAGAATTATTATAACATACATGAAAAAATTCACACAGGAGAAAATCCTTATGCTTGTAAGCAATGTGGGAAAGCATTCACTATGCAGATTACCTGTAACCTACATGAAAGAATTCACATTGGCGAGAAACCCTACGCATGTAAGCAATGTGGGAAAGCTTTCAGCAGACACAGTAACTGTAAAATACATGAAAGAATTCACACAGGAGAAAAACCCTATGTATGTAAAGAGTGTGGAAAATCCTTTCATTTTCATAGTACCTGTCGACGCCATGAAAAAATTCACACTGGGGAGAAATCTTATGTGAGTAAAGAATGTGGAAAAGCATTCAGCACACATAGTCACTGCCAAAGACATGAAAGAACTCACACTGGGGAGAAACCATATGTCTGTAAACAATGTGGGAAAGCATTCACTACATACCGTTTTTGTCAAATACATGAAAAATCTCACACTGGGGAGAAACCATATGTGTGCAAGGAATGTGGAAAAGCATTCACTAGAAAGAGTTCTTATAATATACATGAAAAAAGTCACACAGGAGAGAAACCTTATTTGTGCAAGCAGTGTGGAAAAGCATTTACTACAAAGAGTTACTATACCATACATGAAAAAATTCACACAGGGGAAAAACCTTATGTTTGCAAGAAATGTAAGAAGGCATTTCCTACACACAAGGATTGTCAAAGACATGGGAGAACTCACAGTGGGGAGAAACCTTATGTTTGCAAGGAATGTGGAAAAGCATTCACTACACACAAATATTGTCAAAGACATGAAAGAATTCACACTGGGGAGAAACCTTATGTTTGTAAGCAATGTGGAAAAGTATTAACTACAAAGAGTTCCTATAACATACATAATAAAGTTCACACAGGGGAGAAAGCTTACATGTGCAAGCACTGTGGAAAAGCATTCTCTACACACCAATCCTGTCAAATACATGAAAGTACTCACACTGGGGAGAAACCATATGTGTGCAAGGAATGTGGAAAAGCATTCACTAGAAAGAGCTCTTATAACATACATGAAAAAGGTCACACAGGGGAGAAACCTTATGTGTGTAAACAATGTGGAAAGGAATTCACTACACACAAATATTGTCAAAGACATGAAAGAATTCACACAGGTGAGAAGCCCTATGAATGTAAGCCATGTGGAACAAAATTTGCTAAGTCCTCATGTTACATACATTGATATCATAATTCTTTGTAGGAACTATGCATTTGTAGTCTTTGCTATAAAAATTGACATTTTTGTGTAATCCATTGGTCTTTGAACTTACTGTATAATATCTTTTTTACTTTAAAAGGTATATTTCTAAATTAGTAAAAATTGTGTTTTAAATGACTACAGTTAGGAGATAAATTCATGAGTTAAATGGTAATTTGTTGCTTTAATTGAGGATTTATATTCTCATATGCAAAATGTATAACATCACCACTGTAAAAATAATATAAAAGTTGAGAAGTTAGCTGGATAAAACAAAATTCTATTAAACATTAAAAGGTAAGACACATATATGAAAAAGCCTAAAAGGAACATTCTCAAAGTAATTCAACTGATTGTTTTTAAAAATTATTGAATTGACAAATAAAAGTATTTTGTATGAATAGCATACAACAGATTTTTTCCCAACTCAGCCCTCCCAGAGGGTGGGGCTGGCACTGCATATGGTACTGGGGATAGAACCAGTAGGTCCCATGTACTTGCCTAAACTTGCCTAAACAGGCACTTTACAATGCTGAGCTATCTCGCCAGCCAGCATACAGCAGATTTTGATGTGATACATTATGTAAAGACTAAGTCAAGCCATTTGACCTATGAATTTCTCACATACTTAATCCTCTTTTTTGTATAATATCTTATAATTAAACAAGGGGGAGTCCTAGCCCAGATCCGGTGAGTGTGAGGAGAGCTTCCTGCTACCCTGCGCCAGCAGGACCAGTCCCAGCCCAGGCGCAGAGTAGGCTGGACCCTCTCCCAGCCGCTTGGGCCACCCCCCACCACTCTGCAGTGCCTCCCACACCCCACCCACAGAGTAGGATATTCTGCCTAGTTCCGGGAGCCCCCGGACCCAGTCCTAGCCCAGGTCTGGTGAGTGTGCAGAGAGCTTCCTGCTACCCTGCGCCGGTGGGACCAGTTCCAGCCCAGGCGCAGCGTGGGCCGGACCCTATCCCAGCCCCTTGGGCCGCCCCCCACCACTCCGCAGTGCCTCCCCCACCCCGCCTGCTGAATAGGATTATCTGCTGAGTTCTGGGAGCCCCCAGACCCAGTCCTAGCCCAAGTCTGGTGAGTGTGCAGAGAGCTTCCTCTTCCTCCAACTTCACCTTACCCCCTCCAGGCACAGCTCAGGCCTGGCATACAAGCCTGAGGTGTAATCCTGCAGCTGCAACCTCCACAGGGGAGAGTGTAGAGAATAGATCCAACCAGCTATTCCAGGAGCAGAACATCTCGCCACA